TTTCGCAAACCCTTTGTTATATGTGTTAACTGTCGAATGAGTCTTGTAATTTATATTCTTTCATCGTTTACAGTCAATCTGCAGTTGCAGTCGATTGGGAAAGGATTGATTCAGATTTACAGCCCTGCTGTAGGACGATATCTGGCAATGGATAGCAATGGACGACTGTTTTCAATGGTAAGCTTAATACATTTTTCAATTTAGTAACCATTCTCCAACTCATTACTGAATTTTGGTAGAAGTATCAGACCTTGTACCTCCTACTGAGCGTTTTCACTGGAGGCTGTTCAACTTTCCCAGTAACTGCTTACTTCTTGGAGATAATTTTATGATGTTTATGCCACGACTTGGTCAAATTTATTGCGTGCAGACATTAAGGTCCCCCAATACATTTGTATGGAACGAATCTCATTGACAGCCGTGTACATTTTAAACTTGCTCGTATACTTTGACGAATGTACAATAGTGCCGCACGAACTCTACCACAAACTGACTACATAGCACGGCCCATTACAGGCCAGCCCTGACAAGAAACAGAGTATCAGGAATTATTGAACTAAGGCCATATTTTTTTACTGGTCTGATTGCTGTATGCCAGGCTCCGAAAGAAAAAGAAAACAATGCACCTCTTCTTCGAATACCTGATCTTTACCATAATTATAAAAGACCAAAGATGAAGTTTCTTCATATAATAATTATAATAACTGTCGATGATTGTTCCAAAGAAAATTTCGATATTGCTGATTAACAGCGTTGACTTGAAAAAGTCACAATTTCTATCGGGGTATATCAACGTTACAAGAAGACTAATTGGTATCAATCGGTCAATGACCCTCTCTAATCGCTATAGAAATTCTCCTGACAAAGCAAATATACTTTTACAGCACACAACAGGACCATTTTAGAGAGGGAAGTAGTTTTGAATCTTAAAGAAACCAAAGTATCAGTTTATGAGCGATCGTTGGGTTGGAAATTGGTGCGATGTGATCCTTAAATAACAACTTATCGGATTCCGTTACTTGCACAATAGATAGATTCTACATTTTTTTCCATAAAATAACCTTTTAACTCATATGATATCAGTATAATCATTTAGCATTTTAGAATGTCTTCGACTCTTCGGTTGAGGCATTTCGTTAATTCTCGGTTGATTGTTTGTTGTTGTGAAACGTGATGGAATAAAATTCAGAAATAAGATGGCTAAAGTTGTCCAAGTTTCCTCTACTAGGAGATAGCTTTGGTCTAATGTTGGTTTTTGCTGAATAATTTTTGTGATTGAAGTATTTTGTCACCATCACAGCAAACTCAGATAAACAATTCATCTATAACCTTTAGGAATGCACATCTGAGATCTGACATCCACGTGTCTTTTTCTTTCCTATTGCTTCTTTCGACTTAAACAACTAAGGACCTAAATAAGGTGGAAAGTAATAATGAAGGAAGACGAAAATAATGACAATTCCTTCTTTAAAACCAAATATGTAACTGTCTAAAATCTTAAAAAAGCAGAGGAATATGGCGTTTGACTCGTCTAACACTGGATTGAGTATGGCATGGTTATTATGTTTCATTATCTTTTCATATTAAATGCACAAGGATCATTTAATATCAACAGAAAAATTGCCAAATTTCTCCTATGTTGGGTACAATTTCTGGCTACTGAAACTGCACGTAGCATCACTGAATCGAGTGGGACTCAGCGCAGTAAGACACGAGACGCACTGGGAGTTGACTTTCTGGAGAAGATTAACTGGACATTTTTCTGTTTAGATATTGCCTAAGTTCACAAACAGCATATTACACCTATTTTAGAGCTCTACGATATTTGATTTTCGATTATGACTTGACAAAAAAAGAATGTTTAAATCATTTTCTCACTGTGACCATTTTAAGTAATAACTAAGAAAATATAATTCTTAACTGCTGCGATGATGCTCACCGTCACTAAAAAGCGACGTCGTGAAATGATAATCAAAAATCATTTCTAAATAGTTACTTTGCAGAGCAAGTTTTTATGGTCGAATAAAACCTTAATGATATGTAAATTATCACATTTTCCTTCATGATGATTAATATTGGTATGCCGGTAGACAAAAGCCGCGATATTAATTCTTCTTTCAACGTAATGAACTTTATATCATGATTTTGTTTTTGACATCAAGCATATGTATATATTTATAGCGAACAATATATTAACTAAAGTTAACCGAACTGACAAGCGAGACCTGTGTGCTCATGCAAGTAATTTTCCAATATAACTGACAAAATACGTCAGGGTCAAGGACTCGAACTGCTTCAGATGATTACTGTAAATTTTATAGCGCAAAAAAAACAGAATAACATGGTACACTTATGACCTGCCAAAAATATATTATCTTGCGCGGTCGGAGAGTCGCCTTTTCAAAATGACTCAATCCGAAAGCAACCAAATGCATTACATACTTTCAGGCAATGATGTGCATTTGAGTTTGACGCGAGTTTCAAATCCTGTCCGTCTTTCATAACATCAAGTTTCACGTAGAAGTCACAATTAAATTCTCGAAAAATCCTTAGATTTCAGCGAATTCCGTGTCAAATTCCTTTGAAAATATTTCACCAATTTTACAATTAAATCTATTTAAATGAAATGAGATTTAAATTAAATTGCTATTCCAAGAGTAACTTAACGATAATTAACGTCAGTTTGCAATTTTCGTACTATGTTTATTTGCTATGTTTAACTTATGTTTTATTCCGTTCAGAATTGAAACTGATACGGCTTGCCGAATCATATCATATCATTGAAATAGATAGTTTATAAAGTCTTTCTACTGCTTCAATAAAAAGGAAACAACTTTGTTAGAATGGATGCCATTTTGATGAATAAACCAAACGAATTTCTTTTCATGGCATCTGAGCCCTATTTTTATCGAATGGCTATTTTAGTTTGTTACTGGACCAATATGACCTTATTCAGGCTCAAAACATGTTCAAAATATTTAAATTATTCAATTTCGTGTTATTTTCCTTCCTCTGTTTCGCTTCTGGTAACACACGACGGAATGTTAAATGAAGAAGCTCTTGAATTAGAATTGAGATCAATCTAAGCACATCACATAAACAGAACTGAGTAAGATTTTCTTCAAATTTTTCAACGTCGACCCTAATTTTGTATACTATGCCATACACTATTATTGTAACGCTTCAAATGATCCCTCTGCGAGAAAAAACAATAATAGAAAACAAGTGAGACGATGACTGGTATAATTTAGCCGATGTTAGTTATAGGGATTGAAATAGATAAAGTCAGAGTAAGTAAGTATAGGGTTAGATATATTATAAATATATATATTATAAATATATACATCTATATATATATGTGTGTGTGTATATATATATATATATATATATATATATTCATATCAACATATCAGGTTTTATTCCCATATTTTTTAGTTTTGGGATTGAACATAGGAAGGGAGGGGGGAGTCCTTTGCATTTTTAGAGGGAGGGGTTTGGAAACGGATCCAGAAGTCCAAAGGCCAAAATTTGGTCGTAATGCAAAGCTAATAAATAGACAGATTTTCTTGCATGACGCCTCGGTTAGTTTCTTTGCTGTTGAGAAGCCCAGTTTCGATTTTTAATTAAATAAGGCTTCGAGGAATAATTCTAAAGTTTTGGGTTTTATTCTTCAAAGCCTTGCCATGGTGTCTATCATTCAAAGCTGAGGTTTTAAAATATCAAAATTGGGCTATTCCAATCCAGCTTTGTCAACGAAAACACTATCCCTGTCCAATAAAATAGGGATTTGCACTTATACCAGTTTCTTTACTCGCAGAAAAGCAAGACAGACAGCACAATTTTCAAACACGTTCAAGGAATCAACGGTTTTCACACGTTCTCCTCGCACAAGTACTACAGAGACACAGCTCATGACATGTACATAGCCCTGAGGAAGGATGGTCTTCCAAGGAAAGGAAACAAGGCTTGTTCACTTCATAAAGGTTCTCAGTTCCTGATCATCTGAACCATTGAAACCCTGTACATCTTGGCACTTATTTAAAACAAATGTTGAATAATAGTTATTATGGAAATTCCAAGACATGAACAAACAGCCTACAGTTCTACATGACACACAAAAAAACTCCACGGAGTCTCCTGAGGCAAAATGAGATAAATACTTGCTGACATTAATACTGAGTGAGATGACGTTTTTACACTCAGTTGTTTATTGTTGTCTAAGAAAACCATATTCAAGTTAAGACGAACAAAGAGAAAACAAGAATACTTATTTTAAATCCAGTTTGTATTTATGAGTGAGGAACTAAGATGTGTTCACAGCGAAATTGCAGAAAAAGAAAAATTTAATGAATTATTTACTAATTTTAGAGTTCCTCTCATTTGAAAATAAACCTTATCATATTGTGAACTTAAAAAATGCTTGAAAATAAATGGTATCTAGTTGTCGTCATTGAGAGATCTTGAGAGATATTTAGAGAAATTAGCTCCCACCAAACTTTACACTCGTCGCCAAATACAGACTGCCCCGAACAGACCACATTGATATAGGCTTCAGTACTGACAGCATTTCTAGAAATTACATTTAACACCGCTAACAAACTTGATCCATTTTCAGCCTAAAACAAAAAGGTTAGGAATTGCATTGGCATAGAATTTGCTGAAGCCAAAGATTCGTGCCTCATCGGGTGAATTTACTTTCGATACGTATGATTTTCCGGGCTAGGGATTTAAATACAGATTTTCAGGCACGAGTAGCTTTTTCAAATTTTAAGTTAAAAAATGTTTTTCAATCTCAGTTTTGATTAACTCTTTTGGTATAAGGTTTGGCTGTATAACAACTACAAGCTATAAGTCTGAGCAAAACTTGGACTGACCTCTAGTATTTCATCCAAAGAAGTTCCAAGCGTTCGCTTTCGGCGAACTATTTCTTGCAATTAATTTTCGAAATGAATTAACTTTTAGGCAAAAATTTATTGGCTATACTCTGTTGAAATACTCACCAAGAAGACGCAGTTTGTCTCGCTTAAGTCTTCAAGCTGTCGTAATCTGAAATTTATCTGAGAAACTCCAAATATTTATGACTTGAAAAGCTGAAAAACGTAATTTGATAGCAAGAAGTCATAAGCCTTTCGTCGCTCTTCTTTTTCTACTAGTACGTGTTGTCTAAGAAAGAGCGGGAAAAAAGGGAACGCAGTACTTCACGGACAGAACGTGAGACTGCTACAGCCTTTTCGAATGCCCATAACACTCTGTGCGCCTTGTTTCGACTCCAAATTGATCTTAGACTTCGTGAGGATACGAAAGCTAGCTCGGAGAAATATGTTTTAACATATATCGTCTGGGTTTTAACGTTTAAACTGGAACAATATCAGAAATTTGCAATGAATAAACCGAAGCCTAAGTGTGCTTTGTTTTCCATCCATTAACATTGCCTAGCTCTTATGATAATGACGATGATGCTGACGAAATTTAAGACACTCAGATTCACTAATTACAATCTACCTATCAATTCTCAATTTCGTTTGCATGTTATCTTAACTCATCACGTAACTTCTCTTAGGTTTTACTAAGTTAACAGAACCTACTTTGAGGATATTTTAACAAAATATTGCAAAAGTTGAACAGTTCAATAAGTGTGTTTTCTATCGCGCTAGAAAGATACAAAGCAAAACCTAATGTGATTACATGCACGTAATTTTTTCTGGCGCTTGCGTGCCATTACCCAGATTTTTTAGTATAGCAATTATGAAAAGTTTACATATAACGATATTCCTAAGAAAACCACTCAAAGCTAGTGCCTCCCGTAGCGTCCAAGTGTTTCTAAACAAAACGGTTCAATCTTTACTTTTTTTAAACAGCATTTCTTCATTTCATTTTTCATCGCAATGAGCATGTAGCACCCTACAGGCGCAGAATGTAATTTACACGTTCAACTTATGAAAACAGGTTCACAATTGTATTGAATGTCCAAATTTTTAATGTGTAATAGTTACCTCATATTCATATCATTGCATTTTACTATCATCATCACAGCTGATAAAAAATTCCTTTTACTTCACCATGAAACTAATGTTTGTCTCCTAATGAGTGAGAAGAGTGCTAAACTAAATAGTTTAAGAGTACCTCTTCCGCGTCTAATGGATTTTAAACACTTTCTTCATTCTTTACTTAAGGCGAACATGACAGAGCATTCTTTAATGTCTTTCTTTAAGAGACACTTGTTCAAGTTAACGAGTTCTTCTTCGAGATTTGCTTTTTTTACTCATGCTAAATCTCACGCGATTCTTGAAAGATTTGTGGTTTTGGATCTTGGTGAGCACAATTACGATGACCGTTTCGTGTTCATGACCTGAGGAAGACTGTTGGGGGTGCAGTCGAAACGGCACCATCCACATCGTAACTGACTACATCCACGAACTTGCTTTGTGAATTTCCGCGTGCATCCCATCAGTGTAGAAATTTCTAAACACAGTTACTTCAGTACCAAACTAAGTTTCCTTCTTGTTGAATTTTCTTGTATGCAAAACGTTCATTCAAAACATTAATTGGTTGAGCAAAGCAGAGTGTTAATGAAAAAAATTTTCACGTGTATCTCGTCAGTAGACTGGAGGCAAAATCGCACTAAGTTAAGAATTTTCCGTAAGCGGTAAATAAACATTTTCCTGCATGTTAATGCAACTAAGCTTTTATTCTTAGTTTTTGTTTATGAAGAACAAAAACTCGCCGTGAATAGTTTGCACTCGTACATTGTTTGTATGAGCAGAAGATTAATGTTTTTATTTTTGACATCAAGTGGTTATCTGCATTTTGCGCGTATTTAAGTTTCACATTGGGAGTGAAAAAAAGTCGTCGGATTAAGATCATAAAATTATATAAAGGAAGAGAGCATAAGAGTTTCAATTCATAACAACGAAAACAAAAAAAACCTTTTAGAAGGATATTATGCTGACGTCATCACGTTTTTGCTTCCGTCGCTGACACAGTATGTCATTAAGGTCCCTTAAGACATTGATAAGAGTCAGGAAAATCGAAGTTATCGATTATTTAGGTACCTGGGCATTCATTGCCGGCCAGAAGTGCCCTTTTCAAATCGTTAAAATACACAGTAAGTCTATAACAACATGTTTCAGTTTTCATACACTAAGTTTATTTCCATTGGAAAATCCTAACTAGCATTACAAAGATACATATAACAATATTAATTCTATAAACATTCATTAGGCTGTTATGGATTTTTGTCTGAACTTTAAAAAACTTTATTGTAACCCAAATAGAGCTATTAGCGTTACGTTGGGCGAGATAAGGAGAAATTAAAGAATTTACATTTAATCTGTTACAAAAACTTAAGAGCTTGAAGTTTGTGCTAGAGTTTTTTTGTAGTCACAGTGCCATTCCCTGGGAATCAAGGATATTGCTTCCATTCTGGAATACTGTTTAATTTGAGGGTCTTAAATAGTGAAGAACAGACAGATGGGGTTATGACGGGACCTCTCCGAGCTGTGGCGAATTATCATGCTACGGTGGTCGTCAGAAGAATCATATATATATACCATCCACGTTTTCAACAAGTTAGGGGGAATGAAAAAGTAAGTCGAATTTCAAAGAAGGTAACCAGGGTCTTTCCTTGCAAACAATCCTTGTTCATAGCTACCTTGATTTTTTCTCTGGAATTTTTAAAAAGTCCCCGAGGCAGGAAAATATGATCAGTTTTACCTCGAAACGTTTTATTTTCATGTTGTATCAAAGAGATCTAGGGATTTGTAGAATGACAACCATAACATGTTTGTTGGAAAGAACTCGTTATTCGTAAAGAACCCGTACTGTTTAACAGTTACGCCGAGCCACTAAAGGCCACAATATTCGCTAAGCGGTACTCTATGATCGAACAACTTTATTTATAAATAACCTCTTTTTCTCATTTAATTCTTAAATTCGCTGTTGCGACAATATATAAATAGATAGCTTATCTTACTTACTTTCGTAAAAAATAAATATCTAAATATTTAAATTTTCAACATAAATCTTCACTTGGTACTCGTTCTGAAGACCTGCTTTCAGACGAAATAAATATTTTGAAGATATTTTGACTGTCAGCAGTATTTAGCTTATTTCCCTGCTTTCAATCACTGAAATAAGCGTAGTCTTGTTGTGTCTCGTAGTCTTTTTGCCATTTTTCATATGACCATTCTTTCTCATGGACAAAAACAGGTATTTTCTTGTCTTATCATTCACATGGGAGTGATGTTCAGAGGCAAACGTTTGGAAGCCATTTGCTTCATGCGTTTGTTGAAATACCGTTTCCCTTGTGGGTTCCTTCTGTAGATATAAACAAACAACACTTTATTAGGAATGAAGATATTGGTAAACAGCAACCAAATAACTCTTGAGCCTTCACTTCGAAGTTCACTTAAAGGAATTGCTGTGTATTAATATAACTTAGATTTTAAGCAGTAATTTGTAATGCGGCTTGGTGAAAATTGCGCAGTCTATTAATTTTGTTTTGACACGAGTTTTCATTAATTTTAGGTCTCGCTGCACTGAACACTTATTTCAATCAAGCCAGATCGATTGTTCTTTTGATGACCGCAGGAGAATATTAAACGTGGGAACTGTCAAATCTCCAAAGCAAATATTCGCCCGAGAAAGAATACCGTCACATACACACGAATTGCTGAATAAAATAAATCTCAGGACGATCAAAAATCTTTGGCCGCGAAATGCACAAATCCAGTAGACCGAGACAACTAGGAAAGATATAGCTTACTGAAAGTTTTTATGAAGGTGCATTTGAAAAGCAAGGACATAAAGAAGCCATATTCTTCGCTTTGTCGGTGAACATTCGATTTAATATTCTTGTAACAAAGTGGTGTATGATCACACATCATTAGAAATGCTTCCACGTATTAGAGGTGGCAATAACAGAGAGACCTTGGACTGGGCTAATTTAGTCACTCCTTCAAAACAATCGACTTTTTCACTTAAGCATTGTTGCCACTTAAAACACTATCCCCTAAGTCTGATTTCAAGTGCCCGGTAACTGTCGAATCCAGCAAAAGAACACCTTAATTTCTTATAAAATTTTGTCAGAAAATCACTTGACGGCCGAAGGAAAGTGTCCAGTTGTAAGCGTGAAACTTATTTCAATGTGACACAGTTTATCCTTTTTCCCAAGTGAGACAAATGAATCGTAAATAGTCGTGTTAACTCACCGTTGTGTAAACTTTTCCCGATGACTGCATAGCGACATACAGACAAGTTTGCTTGCTAAAGATCCGAACCAAGCTGCTTCCAACAGACTGAAGTTGGAGCTCAACTGCAAAAATAAGTAATGGGCGTGTTAAGAAGCAAATAAACAATTCAGCTGGTTTTCTTTCATTGGAGAGCTAGCTAGGAAGAAAAATGAAACTAATTTAAGTAAAATTGAAAACATTTCGGCACGGGTCTTTGGACTGTATTGCTTTTCGATTATCTTTGGAGGCTAATTGTCCAGCCACAGCGTATTAACATTCTCAAAAGACATACTTGAATCATAAATATCTTACTAACTTTGGAATATTGTTATGCAACTCGAAATAGAGACATACAAAACTACTGACAAAGCAATATTCAATTATCGCTAATACAAAGGTCTGTATCTGTACTTACTGTCGCGGCTGCGCGCATCTGAAGTCCCGTTTATATTACCATCTTTGTAAACAGCTAAGAACCAACCATTTTTGTACCAAAAAGACACGTCTGCAACAGATGTATGTCCGGATGGAATTGCGTTTTGATTGCACACTGGGAACGGCCTCAAAGCTCTCCTTTCCCGTCGTAGACTAATTCCTTCGAATCCTTTTTGCAAGGGAAGAGCTTGTGTGATACTCAACAAGCAGAAAGCAAACAGGACAAAAATAGCCTGAAACATCAAGGATATTTAGTTGAAAAAAAGTCCCAATTATCTTTAGTGCCGCGTTAATATACACTGCCTCGAGCGACGTTTCGTGATTTCTCCCCTTGTCTCACTGGCAATATTTTTCGAGCTAATCTTCCAAACAATAAAACAAAATAAAGACAACTACTTGAAACATTTTACGGATCACAACTCAGGTAAGCTTTTTTTGTAGCTATCTATTCTTGTATCATTTTCCCCTTCAGCAGCCACCAGATCGTTTCGCTGCGCTATCAGAAGATTCTCAAAATTAAAATCAAGAAGTAAGATAAGGTGAGTAGATAGGAACCCTACTTTGATATTGCGATTAGAAAAGTTAAGTGGATAAATTCTGCCTTTAATCAGAAAGTTTCCAGATTCTTCTAGGCAAAAATAGCTATGAAATATTTTCACTTTTCACTTGATGCGCCCATAAAATTTCCTGTTTAACTTATTCCAGATTCATTCCCGTTATTTTTTACAGCTCAGTGCTCCCTTACATCACAACCGAATCCAAAAATAGCCATTGGAGTAATTTTAAGGAAGACAAGACAAAGCGTTTTAATTGGCTTGAACACTAGTAAGGGAAATCCCAGACTTTAACTCAACAACTCCAACCTTATTAGGTCAGACGAGAAAATCACTTGTAGTATTCTTCGACATGAAATATTGCCATGCCCCCAAACCAGAACCCCTTCAGTCAGAGTGTGTCTTATGAATCTAATATTGCTTGTATACCACAAATAACAACCCTACTTAAACACTGAGCGAAGTGTTATCACTTTCAGTTTTCAGCGAAAAGTTGCTGATTCTCAACTTAAGTGAAAATTTGTCAACTCAACAAAATCTCCTCAAATCTACGTAGTTTTTATCGCTGCAAACAGATATAAGCGCTGAAACACATTGATTTGAAAACAAAAAATAAAATAAGCAAATTGATATAAAATTAAGTCTTCTTGACCTACACGTCTTTGAGAGAAGTTGATCGCTAAAATCTACGCTCTCGGAAAAATCTATAAATTCTTACCTGTAATAGATCCATTCAAAATCTTTTAAGTCTTCGTCAGAACTGATGATAAGTTGGATTTTAGAGAGGCAATCGACGTAGTTTGTTCAAACTGCTAAACGATTTTCCACCGCTTTCAGCTGCCCACGGAATCGCTCTTCACGTGTTGAGATGTCGTTATTAATAATATTCGAAACTGCTTCAATGCCCCTTATATTTTTTTTGAGGGTTTCCGGAGCAACCCGATGTAACAAAAGACAGAGGGTGACGTAATGTTCAACGATCATGGAAATTTTCCGCCATGTTGTAATGGATATGGAATGTCCGTGGTGATCTTAGATTTTTTTACTTTCTGCCAAGGAAAAACCACCCAAAAACACAAAGAGATGTCGAAATGTAAACACCCGCCGTACACTCCTGCTTCACTTCCCACGCATTTCTGCTAGAAAGCGCCAGCTCTTTATCCCAACCGATCTCAAGTTTATACAAAATGGACAAAAACTACCAGTCCCTTGGGAAATTTCCTTGAACATATCAATCACAGTGTTTTGTCGCTTCACAATAACTTCACCGGTTTTGAAGGCGAGCGAGTGTTGATTTTACGTTGTACGATTAGGTTGCTAAAAGTAGACAAGAGCTTCGTATTTTCTCTGACAATATCAAATCAGATGTAAAGGGTCACTGGTTTTGAATGGAATGCCCCGACGAGTCAATTGAGCACAGTTAGTTTTTGAGGTTTGGAGGTATTTACATGCAAACAAATATTCAAGTATTTTGTACACATTTGCTCCAAATTGCACTGATCCCGCCTCTTAATACACAAACCCATTTGGCTTTTCTCACGTCAGCAAGATTCGGAAATATCTTGTTTGGGATCCCTTACATAGTAAGAAGTATTTACGGCGTTTGAGCCGAGATGATATTAGGAGTTCTAGCTTCCTGAAAAGGAATATTGGTTGTCAGAGATTAAACGCGCAATTAGCAATTACAACTAAGTGAACGACAAAAATTCTTGTTAAACGAAGTCCTTAAAGCTCTTAAAATTAATCGCCCACTGTCGCGGTTTTTGCGTGAGTTTTTGTTTCTTCCTCGGCGCGAAACGCGACAAGGGTTCATTCTGCCTGGTGAGAAATTTCCTTGAACTGGGAATGAATTCACTGCACGTAAAAACGAGCTTTGAATTCACATCATTGCTGGATTTCCGCGCGCGTTCTAGGCAAGAATAGACTTGTGTCTCTTGAACTCATCCAGAGCGGAACAAGCTGCTTTTGTTCTTCACGAGCTAAAGGCGTCTTAAGTCTTGCGCGCAATTTCTGACGATTCACTTCGTTGTCGAAAAATATGCACATAATAAAGCTCATTGCAATAAAACACCGAACAGCCCATCAAAATGATTAATAACTCTGACGTGCTCGTTTACGAAAAATTTTCAGCTTCGCTTAAGCCAACCCATAAATGGGTTTCAAACTTGTCGTATAATTTCAGCTCTAAAACATTGTAATATATAGGCATAGTTCCGTTTCTCACCTACACCTAGGCTAAGTAATTTATACGTACTTTAATCCTTCCTATGGAAATCGCGGTTTCCTTAAAACGAAAAATATTGTTCAAGAATTGTGGCTAGGAATTCACGGTGTGTCCGTCAAATGCTGATAACAAAACCGACAAAAGACGAAACCGATTGTCGGTACGGCTGCAGTTAAAACGAATATAAACGTTTGATCTGTACTAAAAACTTTTTCCGGTATCATACAATAAGCGAATATCACTACACTTCAATTGAATCTCGCATAGTTCACATTTTACTTGTCTCTTCTCTCTCTTGTTTCGTTTGACTAGAAATTGCCATTTCGGATAAATCAAGTAGAAGACTCATTTGAATTTAGCTCAGGCAAATTTAAAAATCGAAGTAGTTTGCTTGACCGTGACATGTACGGTGTGTTCTAAAGAGAAATCTGTCATGAAAAAATAAACCTTTTGTCATTTACATACTAATTTCAAAGATTGATTTCGGACGATGTCTTTTTTAGACCGCTCACAGACGTTCTACATATTTTCACGCACACAGGCAAAGGGCACCGAAAAGTTTGTAAACTTTTTGTTAGTTTTAAAACAGTTCGTTACAAGATTTTACGAAAACATTTGCAACTGTGTCACGCTATGATGGCATCAGGCACGTGCAATGATAAAGACACACCCTTAATGTAAATCGTCAACTTCCGTTCTAATTGTCTAGGGTATAAAGCTAAAATCTTGTCGAAGACAAAGAAGTAAAGTTTATTCACAAAATATTTTGCAAAATGATGATAATTCTGGTTCACTGAGATCCTCGATAAGCGTTTACTCGTGTCAGATTTTTGCGATAAAAAACTTCTTCATTTTCTAAATTTCTCGAATTCCTAAGCGTCAATTTATGGCTACAAGAACTGTGAATTTGATTTGAATTTTCCCACATGAATTTCTATTTTATTCTCCAACACTCGAAATTGATGTCATCCATGAAGTTTTTTCGAGGACTTAGAACATAGAAAATTAAGTAAAATCGCCCACATTTCGTGCGCGTAAATTAATAGAGCCTCACGCAAACGGACTATGGGGGAAAATTATAGGAAAATGCCTTTTTTTACGTAATTCAAGAAAAACCACAAACCTTTCTAAATCAGGTAAAAGACGCAAGACCTTAGGACCGAAGAACAATATAGTTTTTCCTTGAAAACGCAACGATGGAAAAACGTGAGTTTGCAAACGCAACCCCTACCAAAGCACTTTTGATTTGTCACGAAACATTAGGCGGACTTCCCACGAAATGTCAGGTGCAGACCTCACGAAACTGGACAGCATGTGCAATATCTTTGAAATGGCTCAGTGTATGATTCAGAACAAATTTGTGTGTCCATATTGCAATTTCTGAAGGAAAGCAAGTTCTTTCTTAGATTGAAGTGAAATTGCCATCTATGTTTTCTAGACCATGGATTTTAGAACTGCGTCATTTTTGAGACGAATTAAATAGAACTGAAAAAGGAAAATGTTAAAGTAATTCCAGGACAAGTGGCTTTCATTTGCATGATATCCTCTTAGAATTCACAACAAATCGTTATTCATATGTATCACACACAGTCCTTCTTTAAGTGTGGCTTACATTAAAAGCTTTTATTTCACTGAGAAGAATTGATTAGCTTAAAGCCAAGATAGGGAAATGCGCTTTCATGGCCAAAGGAAGTGATGGTATTAACATACATGTCCGCCTGTCTGTCTGTTTGTCTGTCTGTCTATGAGTCAGCCTATCTGTCAGTCAGTCTGTCCTCACCACTGCCAGGTGCATGCGCAATTAAATTATATTACATTGCCACTATAACTCAAATTCCACAAACTCCGGTTTAAATTGCGTCATTACTTGTCCACATTAGTAATATCTTCAGAGTAGAATGATATATATCGGGACATGCCGGCGAGTTGGTGTTAGTGCTATATATAAGTCTTTGATGACCCGATTCGATATTCAGCAGGTGAGATATTTACCTCGTCCAACCCTCAAACAGCCGTAAGGCCTGTTGAACAAAGCAATGACATAAGTAATTAAAAATACTCAGACAGTCATTATCTGTATTTTAGAAATTAACTCAGTTGGAAAAATTTTCGATAATAATTCCACGGATTAATCAGCAATATTGCACGAAGTATACGCAATTATTTCTGAAATACTTTGCGCTGCAACTTAATATCACTTGCTCTAAATTTCATCCCTTATGCTCACGGTTGCTGCAAGTGACGTGGAATTGAGTAGACTATATCGAGATATGACTAGAGAATTACGTATACCTGCAACCATAAGTGTGAGAAAATCATTCAAAACGCGATGGCACGCTTTTTGGCAGGGCTGCAAAAAACTCGTGAAGCAAGTAATATGTAAGTTATTCACTGACTGGAAGGTCAGACTAGAGGCTGTGTTCAAGTTAGATCAATATTGGAGCGCCAAAAATACGGTATCATGTTTTCTGCAGAAGGTGTTTCTTAAACATTGGACATGCATGGAATATGTATATAAGGCACTTAAACTCGCCATATTTGGTCCCTTCGAGACCCTTTTCGGGAGATCAATTTTGGAAGAAAATATAACCATTGTTACATCATATGGTGTGTAATCTAAAGGCAAGCGAAACAAAAATATCGACAGAGATTTTTTAATTAGTAAAGAAAGTAACAGAATTTATCATATGTCCCATATGGCCCCGCGCGCGTAGTCCCACAAAAAAACCATAGCGAAATTTGAGTCGTGTAAGGCCGGACGGATTGACGTGAGCCAGTCCGGAAAAACCTGCCCAGCATTGCACTTACACGGATTTGTTGCAAATACTTAAAGCAAAAACCAAGATCTTATTTTAAAAAACCGCATTTTTTGATGATTTGTGAGTATAACGCTGTGAATAGAAAAAAAAAACTTTTATGTTTTTACTGTAGAATCATTCTTTGTGGTTGTCCCGTGTACGCCCATCTATTGTCATTGCGTGCTATTTCGTTTAAAACAAACATTTCGAAATTTTCAATTTCTTTGTGCTCGGTTCGTACGTCACGATCTCGGCCAAATATTTTCCCGTCCGGCCCTCCCACTCAATCATTAAGTACGCGATACTAAACCAAGTATTTCGATCGTTAGTAAGACAATTTGAGACGTTTTCTTATTCCAACCTGTCTTTTAGAAAGTTTAATTTTTTGTGGCTTCTGACCACCTTTATCAAATCCCCACTATCAGGTAATGTTCTCATTTTTTTTTTTCATTTGTTATTCAAAACTTTCATTAAGTAATCTATCACTCACCTCCTTTCCTCTTCTATTTCGTCCTCTTCGCTTTTCAAACATTCTCCTTTGTAGAGCTCTACAATCTTAGTTTCGGCAAAGCAGTTTTCCCGCTCTAACCTACACATGTTCTTGTACGTTTTGCCATTACTGGCGCATACGGGGTCATAGGCAATGCCACATTTTTCAGGGCACTCCTTCGATAATGACAAAAACGCTATGAAAAAGGAGAAGTGACACACCGGTATTAGAAAATGTGTAGAACTGTTAAGACAACAGACGAAAAGACATCCCTAAGTTTTTCAATTCATTATCGAGCTTGATATTTACCATCCATCTTATTTTTTTGACCAACAGGGGGCTTTCGACTTTGCCGATCCAGACAATGTGTGCGTGACACGTTTTATACATGATCCTAATAGAGTGATTTTCAATTGAGTCTCGAAAGTAATCCCAGACTGCCTTGATTTTGCTTTACTTCGCTACATGATTGGTTCAGAAACTCGCGCCTTCCTCTCAACCAATCAGATTGAAAACAAAAAAGCAATCGTGACTTGGCCACTCGCCTTTTCTCGCGCTTCAGACAATTCAGTTTCTTTTACTTTGCGGCCTCATTGGCTCCTTGTGATATTTTCCTGCCCTCTGATTGGCTGATGTGATTACTTTGGTTTTGGTTTTGCGACTTTCAATCAAATGTATTGTAATGGCCTACACTAGCTCAACGAGATTTTGTGTGGCTCAGTGTTAGAGCAAAGGAACACAAAATCTAAGGGTCTGAGATTTGATTCCTCACGAGGATTTCGAAGTTTTCTATGTCCCACGCTCGTGAGAGGAAGAAAACCATTCCCTCTTTATGTTGCATTAGTTTTGGTATTTTGTGTGTTAAAGCCCTCACAGTTGAAAAGTAATACCTCCCAGCGGACCTGAGGAAGACGTGACTGACCACAAATGTTTTGCAACGACAGTAAAAGTAAAAGTAAAAACAACAGCAGAAAAATAATCGTGACGCCGACAGTTTTATAATCTTGATCAAACCCCACGGGAACCCTGGACAGGAGTTTTGACAAAAAAAAAAGAAACTATGAGGTCCACCCTCTCTTCTCTTAGGAGGGGTCGCTCGGGTATTTGAGGGAAGATTTATTTATTATAAAGGTAAACCATGACGTTTCCGGCAAAAGGTAAACGACAGAGATGACCACCTGACCAATTTTTTCCCGCCATTTTTGACATTTGCCGTTTGCTCTCTACCGTTTTCAAGGAGAAGGGTGGAGGTTTCACTTGTGTAAAAAACTCGAGTAAAAAGTGTACTTTTCTATGCTGTGTTAAAACATAAGCAATCGTGTGCTTCGAGGAGAAGCTTCTCTATTCCTTCTTTTTTATTGAATTTATCCATAAATTATCAGAAAAAAACGTACTGTTCTCTCTTAAAGTGCTCTGCCAAGTTTCAAAAAATAAAGAAGTTCTGTGCCGCCATGGTGGCTGTTAAAGTGGGAAAATCTGAAGAAGTAGCAAAGTCTTTTATTTAAGTAGCAGCATACTGCTTTGATTAGATATAAACCGCACGTGTCGAGTTTTTAAAACTTTTTGAAAATTTCTTTCGTAACATAAGTCGATGAAACCTTTAACTATTTTTTCTAAAATATGTTCATCCAAGGGAGTGTTACGGCAAGGCTAAAAAAACCGGTTTTTTGGGACAGTCCAGCGATTCTCGTTTTTCTCGGTAGAAATACGCTCTTAAGTGCACGAAGTAAAGACAGCAAACGCCAATGTCAAGTGGCTGTTTCCCGTTTGCTGCAAAAGACATACTTAACCTCTCTACTAATTCTCAACCCTCCCCTCTCCTCCCCACTATTCGATTCCACCGGTTGACCCCTCGCACTCATCACCCGGCCTTACCACAGAGAAATGCTAGTGTTTTGACAAGGTGACGCCCTTTAGCATTCAGGTTTTTGTATTCTCATCACTTTTTAGCTGGACAATAAATGGAAATTATAAGGAGAGGATACATGTTGACCAATCTTAGGATTTGGAAGTTAAGCGAACACATAACTCACTTACCAAAATTGAGTTCCGCCAGTAATATGCAAACAAAGAGTATTACAGTGTTCATTTCGCAGCCGACAGATTCTAGAAAACGAGCGAAAAAAAATACACTTCCAATATATGTTGATACCAGTTGGGCCAACAAGGTTTACACAGAGGGTCTACAAATACTAAAATGTAAGACGGCTAATCACCCTCTAACTAAGCGCGTCATATGCACAATGTGTGCCCAAATCATGGGCGCACTTCAAATTTTAGCTCATTTTTTAACCAGCAGTAAACTCTGCTAATCTCAGTAATGATTATTTTCAACGAGTGAATTGGACGTACGATTATCGTTTTTGAGAGAATTTTGCGAGAATAATTTAAGAGACGATTGGTATTAGCGCCAGATATACTGAATTTTATCGCACTAATAAAACCTTAATGCAAAAATTCAGTTTATCGTTGCGGCAATTTAAACAGTTGTGTCGAACAAACATCCTAAAATAAAATTTTGGCAGCTTTATAATGCGACACAAATTTTCAGGCCGGACTTCCGTAAAACGTTGCACACAATCGGTTTTCCAAAGTAATTGAATATCATATAAACCCATAAAAAACTGTACGATAAGGAACCTGGATTTAAACTTACTTTGTCGTTTTACATTTGCGGAATATTCTTTTTTTCTAACTTCTTTCCAGCGACGAACTGGCATCTCGCTCATTCACAAATCAAATCCAGGTACGAATACCAAACTGATCACAACTGAATAGAAAATTACAAATATCTCACAAACTTACCTTTAAATAGGTCCAGTTTGTGAATTATATTTCAAAAGCCATCGCTTGATGGAAAAGTAGACGAGACCACGACGAGAAATCAAATGTATTGTTTGCGTGCTTGGAACAAATGTCAACTTTCACAGGAAATAAAATGAAATGGTAATCAATATGTTTACTAAGCCACTTGAAAATTCTAATCACTTCTACTGATTGATAATTGGCCACTGAGTCGGTAAATTTTGAAAGGAAAATTCCACACACGCTAATTTTATATTCAAAGTATAGAAATTTACAAGCAAACAAATTCAAATCAATTGAACTGGCGATATTTAAAAGGATTTGTTCATGTGTTGAACTCCCACGCACACCAAAATAAGTCAATAAATGGACGAGGGGAACTAGCCTGCTGCCTACTTCTTTCTTTTCTGTTTTTGTTTAATTTTGTTATAATTTATTCGAAGAAACCCATGGCTATTTCACTGAGAACGGTTCAACTCTTGGCTTTCAGCAAATGGTAGTTTTCTTTACTCTTTACTTTACCCAAACTTAAGAACATGATTTCACAAATATATTTGTAAAGTAACATAATGAAATACAAACATAATAACCTCTTAAACTTCAAATGCTTTTTTTGGGCTCAGTGTGTAATATGGCTAAACAGGTCGTATTCCATCCATTTAAAATTAATATTTACATCATGTAGACATTGAATTTTTATTAATGGCGTCGTCTAGTTAAATGTTTCATACATTGTTACAGAAAAATAATTCACATGTAACATTTAACGAAACGGCGACATTTTAATGTGTACAATTTCTTTTAGTAATTAAAAGGAAAAAAAGGAAATAGAATTTCATACTTCCCTGTCAGTTCTGTGTGCAAAGATCAAAGATCAAAGATAGCCTCCAAAATACAACAATTAAACAAAGTTCACCCCGTCAGTTATTTTCATCACTCACGTAGGGAAGAGTTCAAATTCATATTTATACTTCTTTGTTACAGCTATACCGATTTATATATATCGATATAAGTAGACCGGAAATTTATGCTATTGCAAAAAGGTTGACACCTGAAAAGCATGATTCACGAGCAATGAGACAACGGCGTTATGGCAAAACGGCCTTATTTTTATCCATTATTCATGGATTATTTGTCTATGACAATTCTTTTCATTCGGGAAAGTGTGGATGGCTTCTATCATTTACTATGTGCAACTAATTGTTGTTGGTATGATTGCTTCGATGATTATGAAGATGCGCACGATTGGTCGAGGATTGCGTCATATCTCGTTATAGTCACCTCGCGCGAGGTGACTATAGCAGCAGCGCTAAATTTAAAAATATCTGCCCTGCGTTTTGTCAATGTTACCGAGGAAGTGACAAACGCGATAGAAGAAAATTCAATTCCGAAGAATCCAAAAGATGTTATTAAGTTTGGCGTAACACTATTCAAAAGAAAGATATGAAGTTTTTCCTGGTTCAATTAAAATCATATCAATTGTAACAGAATGGTTTCAACAATAAAACGAATTTACAACAGAATTTGAAAACACCTAAGCAATTATACTACACCAATTATTCGTCCCAGGCCCAGAGAATATTGTTGAATAATCCCGTCGACTTCGTGTGGGGGATTACTCAACAATATTCACTTTGCCTTCGGCGAATAATCTTTAATCATCGTGTACATGTCTACCCATGAAGCCGTTGGGTCTCATCGTTTATTACTGACGCTTTAAGGTGTCACGTTTTTGCAATTGGGTGTATACTCAAAATGAATACTACATCCTGTTTCGCAGAAAAGATGCAAAGGTTGATGCGCATATTTATACGAGGTTATTGGCTGCAACAAAATGTTAGTGTCACCTCAGAATACTTTCTCCCTAATACATGTTTAGTTTGATCTCCTTTTCAAACCTACCAGTTTTACTCAGATAAGTTCGCTGTAAGATAAAGCGTTTATTCACCAATTTACTTCCACACATTTCTACAGAGATAAAAAGTATTAACTATACCAGGACTTCACAGAGTTAAGTTAATCATCTTTTTAAAGATGATTTTAATCTGTATCCTTCAGAAAGGTATGAAATTTCAAAATTCATTTCGAGAAATTTCAATATTTTACTATCATATTCTCCGCTTTCAGTATTTTTATCAAATTATCAATTGAATTAAAAAACGACTGCAACAGCTGTGCATTCATATTAGGCATTATCGCCTTCTATCAAAATTCTCTTACTTTTCAAGATCTGACTTTTTAGGAATTGTGAATTTCCTTATTTGGCGGCTTTCAGCCTTTAGTTGCATTCTGTCCTTATTTCAGATTCTCAACCAATAGTTTTCCTCTAAATCCATTGAACCTACTTTTCTCCAAATCTAGACTTAACTCGCTGGAAAGAAAGCAATACCAGTGAGAGAGTGAGGAAGAGCCAATCTTTTCTCACCAGTGACAAGACCGCAGGCTCATTTTACCGCTCTAAGAAAAGTGAACTGTGGGACTGTCTACTTTTTTCCCAGTGCCATTTTACAGCTTGCTGATATCGTCAATATGAAAGGCCCCTCTTGTCCTGGGTGAAAAGTCGAAGGAATCACGTCATATGTGCCCGTGGGCACTCTGGTCAGCTGCTGAACGTAAAAGCCAGGCCTACGAAAGTAAGAAAAAAAACTCAAATCCATAAAAATTAGCCTCCCGTGCAAAGGCCTCGTTATTCCTCATTTCATAAAACTCCAAAAGGCCTTGCGAAGTAAGAAGTAGCATATACGACTTTGAGGAACAGATTTAAAAGCTTCCGCTAATTTTCCCACATAATCAGAGACAGCCGGTAGATTTTTGAGTTCATTAAATGTTTCAGGTAGACTCTGAGTACGGGAATCTACATTTACTTACCTGTAGGTTTCAGAGTACGCCTCGTAAATGGGTCTCCCATCCGAGGCGAGCTCTACAGAACGAAATATGGCTCCAACTGAAAACTGCCTAAATATCGAAGGAAAATACAAATACAAAAAAACCTTGGTATTACATTCACTTGAAATGGCGATGAGAAATTTCAAAACTCAAACAGTAGATCAAAACAATTTTAGAGCCGGTCAACGACATGAACTTACTTGGGCCCTCGCAGTTTTAGTAGAACTTCAGCAGTTTCTGAGGGTGAATTTGCCTTGATTTGCAGGCGATACACGGGATTATTGGAATGTGAAGAGAAGTTGGGGCAGCCACCGGCTAATTTTCCCCTCCATTCACCAGTCACCTGTAAAAAAACGAAAAAGAGAGGGTGTTTGTCTAATCCAAAGGTTAGTAGATGCGACGACTTAACTTCGAACACTGAATTTTAAGAATCAGTGTGCGACGAGAATCAAGATCAGGTTATGGCGTCTGCAGGAACTTACCTGCTTTTCAACTGTGTAGGGGACAGGAACTGGAGATAAACGGAATTCAGTTGAAGAAAAAACCTACGATAAATACAGAAATAACGCACGGTGGTCAACACAGGATTTCAAACTAAACAGACGCACGACAACATGAAATCTATTTGAAATCTTACACTGGCAATTTAACCACTGGTTTTCTTCGCAGCAGGATTTTGGGGTGTTACGCGTTCAACGCGCCAAAGACAAGCCTTCAAGAAGCCAGTCAGAGTTATAGGTAAAGAGATGGTTGTGGAAAGGGCATTTAAGAAAGAAGAACGATACACGATACACGATACACATACCTTCAGCGTGTAGTGAATTGTATTTGTTTTTTCATACTGAGAGACAACAAGTGTGAAGCGGTTTGTTCCTTTCGGGGCATTTAGTTTAGCGAGGTAAAATGGACTGTTTATTTTAGTGCCTTCCAAGAGTGGGTTGTCTGAAGCAAGAAAAAAAAAAGTATGTATCCTCTCCCTTGAAGTGCCCATTCTCCTACAAAAAATGGCAAATTCTGCATCCTCGACTCAATGTATATAATTGATAGTTCTGTTAGTAGTAAATTTGATTGTAATATCATTCTGTAAGACTATATATTTTGTTTATTTAGTTACTTTACAATTATTATATTATCTGTTATGACTGCTGTAACCTTTCCTCTCCGCCCGCCTCGTCTAGCTTTTGCTATTTGCGGGTGGAGATGGCAAAATGATTTGCATGAAATAAAGTACTTCTCCATAATTGTCTCTCTATTGTTAAAAACAAAATAAAACTAGTCAAAGAATTCTCAGTACTGTTAACAATTACGACATCTCTGAAATTTTCGGTTATTGCGGGGATAGTCGAAGCCCAAACTAGGAATAAAGGTTTTGAAAACAAAACAAAGGAAAAAAGACTAGATAAATAAAAACGCCGAACAAAAAGCGAAGAAAAATTATTAACACATACTCGGTTTCCGCATCAACAACCCCTTCTCTCCTAATTTAAGTAGTATTTTATATTCTCACATTATTCACTAACCCGGATAAAACACCCTTCCACCATCTGACTTATACACATGAACGGTTATGAACTCCTTGTTTTCTGCAAAATCATCCTAAAATATAGCAGATTAACATCAATTCGCTTGCTTCTCGAGATAGAAACCAGAAACCACACTCGTCCGCAAAATATTCTTCTTTGTTATAGACAGATAATACATGAAGGGTTCATACACCTGGTTGACTGGCAAAGCTGTCAGACTTTTGAGGTATGAAGTTACTGAGAGCGTTGACTGGAGGTTTCGCCCATAGCAAGTTCGCCCCTTACTTGTTCGTCCTACCTCGCCGAGTACGTAAGGAAATGAGTTAACGATTTGGAGGCGACCTCGTCGTATTTGAACAGGCGACCTCGTCGTATTTGAACAGGCGACCTCGTCTTAGTGGGGCGAACTGGTAAGGGGCGAAATTGCAATGGGGCGAAAAATCCATAAACCCTTGAAGATATTCCTATTGGCTGGGGGTGAAAGCCAATTGCCAGCATCCTCTCGCATTTCTTCAAGTTTCCGTGACAATTCACTTAAACCTATCTTTACTTCCTGGGGGACATGACGCGGGGCAATGTGAAAGTAAGATGCCTAACCAGAGATGTAAGACCATGAACCGGTCATGGCTCGAACTCAGACCTTTCGACTCAGAATCCAGCGCGCTAACAAAACCAACATGTCCTCCACGACCCTGGTAGACAATGTGTGTTCCTTTTTCGAAGGTTAGCGAGTGAATTTTTAAAGGTGTTGAAACGTGGCATAACGTGTGAGTGATAGAAGATCGAATCACTCTAAGCTACGCGTTTTTTACATCAAACCGTGATATGGCGAAACCGGTATTCTTCTCTCGAAGTGTTCACAAAAGGGCAAAAAGTCACTATTATCTATCGCAAGTGTACCTTTTGTGTGATGTGCCGGGTAAGAAGGATCCAGACCACAGTATCTCTGTCAGAGGAAAGTAACTCCAGTTTGTACTGCGGATTGTCTCCTGTTAAACAAAAGCACTGATATCACCAATAACATCTCCACACCGCTACCTTACATTCATTGTAGCACACGTTGAAAGGGTTTATGAGCAATTTTCCATTGAGTATCGAGAGTAAATCGGGATTGCTGTGGTTTTGCGTAACTTCGCTCCGATTGGCCAATAAAACTCGCGCCACTTTCTCTCCCCAGCACTAAAACCAATCGCAACTTAGTCACCTGGGTTTCCCCGCGCTAAGCGCAGTTCACTTGTTTTTTCTTTTAGTTCTGATCGGCTCCTTATGAAAATTTTCCTTTCCCGATTGGCTGTTGTGATTACTTTAATTTGGGTTCCACAAAACTTGAACGAAAAGCACTCTATGATGTAGTTACACTGCTGGCCTTGTAGTCGCTCCATACAGGAATCCATATTTTTTCCACAATGTTACTGAGGATAACTGATGACATGCACCGGAAAACCAAGTCACTTTATCCCCGCCATTAAAAAAGTAAATAAGTTACCAGTAACCGCGGGTTGGGCGGCCAAAATACGACCTGACCGTTCGAAAACTATCTTTAAAAATGTGCTAAAAATGTTGACCATGGACGCTGCCACTTTGAAGCTACTCAGTAACCTGGCGGCATGGGCCCAAATGGCTTTTATCACAATCCACGGTTTAAAAACCGCCGACTGGGAAAAAGAACCGTAATAAAGTAACTGTTTGTATCAAGTATGCCTTTCTAACGTTCGAGATCAGTTTTATCGTGAGAATGCCATACGCAGCTTTTAAGCGTTCGGTACGCAAAGCTAACGTCCTGTCATGGCCTTTCTCTTATAAATAAACGAAGTAAAAATAAGAGTTAGACGAAGGCCGAGGTCAAGCACGCTCTTTTCGCGTTACATCTGACATCATGGACTATCTATTTATATTTGTACGTACAATCAATGAAATCGTTAAGTCAAAATGCCAGCAGAATATTACTTAATAACGATCATTTGGTCTAAGCCAGGACACAGATTGCCTCCAAAACGGAACTACGCATCATTGATGATTATATTTCACCTCCTACCGAAAGACTTTTAAACGCGCAGTATTTTCATTATCTCACGGAAACATCAGGCGACTGTTAAAGTCAATAATGAAGCATTCAAGCGAATTTCAATGACCAAAAAAAATAAAGAAACAGTGTTTTTTTCACAAAGGAAAATCTCTTCATTTCCGCTTCTTCACAGACGACTAATATGAGACAAATATATTATACATCTCTTTCAATCATCTGTTTCTATTTGTTCAACTTAATTACATCCACTTTGAATTAAATGGTCATCCTGTCCATTTGAAATAGGTACAAATACTACACTGATATACACTTTTTTCAATAGATCGCAAACAGGGAAAAAAACTTATTGAAGATGAAAAAGATCTTCGCAGTAATAAAAACTACTTAATAAAAACTACTTAAGCAGTAATGAAAATATTATTAATCCGCAGTTCAAATATATGATATTCTTTTATACACAGTCGTTCAGAAATTGAAACATAAACATAACTAAAGTGGCGACCCCTGACAATACAGAAAAATGTTGAAAATTCTCAAACTTCAAACAGACGATCCGGCACTCTCAAAAGTAAAAAGGCCAAATGGACAATTTGGCTCGAAACAAAAAAATTCGTGGAGTTTGCTATAATGCTTTCAAGAGGATGGCAAGCATAAAGGATTTAAAAAAGGTGCAAGCCCATCCTATTGTTTAATGGAAGTTTTCTGCATAAAATAAAGTCTTCTTTGATACATTTGTCTGTGTTCAGTCGTACGCCTCTCAAAGTGGGTGAAAGCTAAATTGGCGTAAAGCTTGATATCACAGAGATCGAAGGTCAAAGAACTTACCGATATTATAAACGTCTTTCTTGGGTCCTTCAGCAGATGTCCAGGTCCTAGGAGACGAAACAATACCAGTAATTAAGCCTTTCTTACATTTATTAACCAAACCGTGTCTATGGCGACCATAGCATATTACCTTCTGTTTCGCTCTGAAGAAGGGTTGACGCTCGAAACGTCAGCTCAAGAAACTGTACCTAAGTGAAATGCATGCAGTAAAATACTAATAAAAAATATCGAGAAACCTTTCACTTAAGTACGTCGATGTTCAAATTTGTTTCTGGTTGAAAAATGTTCAAGTTATATAGATTTTTGGTTCATTGTGTGTCAGATAATGGTGAAAATTCTGAGATAAAAGAAAAATCACATTTACATTATCAAGGATTAATTTGGCCCAGAGCATGTATAGCCGCCAGAACGAGAAATTCTGTCTCTTGTTGATACTCAGTTCCTATGATTATCTCGGCGTTGAGAGATTTTCTCAGGGAAATTAAGAGTTTTCCCTCTCAGCAATACCTTTCTTGTTGGTCCAACTTTTTACGCTTAAAATCACTTTACAGGTATTGTTATTATTTTTGTTGCTAATCAAAGCAAATAAAAGATGCCGCATGCACGCATACTTATATTTCACACGAGTTAACTAGCAGTTAGCACAGACGCTCGATATTCATGATGGGGTCAGTAGCATTTCTGAAAAATTTTACATGAAGATTAGAACACGAGCTAGAATTCCTTTTCAAATAATTTCAGCATGTGCTGGCAGTAAGGCCTGTCACATTAGTGAAACCACTCGCTACATTTGTAGACGCAATAATGAGCACCATCTGTCGGACAAGGCTTCACATGTTGACAAGTACTTACAATCTTCCAAGGCTTGTCATAACTCATGCTCGGTAGAGTCTTAAACGAATTGATTCTGTCGTCTTAGTTTTTCAAATGAATGTAAACGAGGTCATGTTTATCAAATGGAAAAATCCGACTCAAAACCAACAATTAAAACACTTAAATCTATCTTTTCCTTTTTAGCTTTTTTTTTAAGTCTTATTTTGTCACACATTTATTATTACTAAATTGCTTATTTTTAGTAGTATCATTTTGGTTTTTCCTTGGTTACTTTAAAATACCATAATTGGTTTTCTGCCATTACATTTCAATCACATAGTTTACGAATATGTATAGCTCAATCTTACGATTAGGCATTTATAAACGTTTTTGTTAGGATTTGGGCATTTGATATAAAATATAAATTATCATAACTAATTTACAACGAAATGTGTAGCAGCTTGAGGGAGGAAGTCAAAAGGCCTCAATGACACTTACGAGTGCAGAGAAAAGCGATATTTGAAGAGTTTGGGGTTCCAGTTCATGTAGATCACGTCGAAAAACTGCATAACGCATTCCCAGCTGATCCAAAATACTCCTGATGAGAGAGAAACAGAGAAGCATTTAAAGAAAGGGAAAAAATACTACAACATACATCTGATCTGGGTGGGGTTGTTCGAAATTTGGAATAATCGTGTACAGAAAAATCCCTTGATTCTATATCTAGAGGAAAACACTTGTAACCGGTAAGCACACAAAGACACACAGGGGCGCTCTAATAAGCCCCCAAGGGGTTGGGAAGACACACGGGGGGGGGGGGGGGGGATATGTAAACCTACTAAGGGCAAAGGTAACTCTACTGGATTGCCACCCCTATTTATTGAATACAGTCTATAGTATGCATTTTTTTGTGGTTCGTTAAACCGTTTTTGTTCGTTAAAACGGCCACCAACCCTGGCTATCCAAATACATGTTTACTTGAGCCATATTGCTACCTAACCCCACCGAATAACAATAATATTTGTTTGTGAGTTTTTAGTCAGAGAAGGGAAGGGTAGGGAGACGAACCTGACGCTCTCAAGGGGAGGATAAAGGAACGCTTAATGACATACAATGCTCCACATTTTTACCATTGTCAATCTGTATAGCACTTTTCCTGTCGTAGTTCAAGGCTCTCTGAAGCTCCGGCGTCCAACTAGTTGAGTCCATTTCGGAGAATTTTCCCTGTAAAATCATAATTAGCTGGTTTCAAGAAATGTTGATACTGTTTAAATATAGGATACGCTTGCCTTTTCCTGCAAAGCGCATTGAGTGGAGAAAAAGCAATCGAATCTGATCTCAACAGTCAAAGTTGAGATGTCGCTGTCTCAGCCAATCAGGTCTGGAAATTTTCCCGACATTCTGTTTACAAAAACACTCAACAAATAACTGAGATTGATAAGGTGAGGTGCATACTTTCCATCTCAAATGACTCCAAGGATTTTTGAGTTGAAGAAGACGATGTCCCTGCATATAAAAAAAGAAAAAATTAAAACTTGATATTCAAGCACTGCTCAAGAAAAGTAAGTCACTTTACAAATAAATCATTCGCTGTAAATGCTTACTTATTCAACAGACCTTGCTAACAAGGCCTCACTAAAGGACACACCGGCGCTAGAGTAGAATTTCCGTTCAAATCTTTACAATTTTCTCGTTTAATGTCCTCCTCAAGTTATCTCCGAAACCAAACTTCGTCCTTTGTAATTTTTCATGACAATGCTTTTCAGTGTATTGCGTGAGAAGTTTAAAGAAAGACCAACGTGCTCTACGTCCTACAACGCGTGGCAATACCAAGGTAACGACAGAAAAAAGGGAGGGCAGGCATACCTTGACTTTCCTGATGTCTAACAATGCATAGGCATGAGTGGGCACAAGTCCCGCTCGGTCAGCCTCGCTTTCGCTCATTGGGCCTGTTGCGACCGTGACGAGACAGTCCCCTGGGACACAAATGAATGATGTGGTTGGTTACATTTTTTCCATTGCGTCAGATGTAAAAACCCGCAGCCATGTTCAATCGTTTACATCTTTCCAGTATTTAACATTGAAACACTAATCTGGCGACAGTTGAGAAGAGTTTGAGTCAGCATGACACAGTTTTGATCTAGATATCTTCTTTGAGGATTTGAGGTAATAATTTAGTGTTTTTCTCACGGTATCACGATTTAAGGTGCGATGATCTCCAGATGGGAAACTCGTGGCCACAAGCAGACGGGCTAAAGAAGACGATTTCCCATCTGTGCAAACGACACTTTCGAAAATTGATATAAAAATTAATTGAGTCGATTCGGGTCGAAAATTTTAAACTTGATTGATATCAATTGATCGGTCAGATGTAGCCCAAAATGCCTTTTTTCGCAATTGTCTTTTCTGTCATTGATTCCAAGTCCTCTCCAATTCTGTGCTAGCACTATAATGTAATGGACATTTGACACTAAAAATCAGAAAAAAAGCGGTCACTGTTTCCTGCATTTTACCCATACAAGGGTTTGTACAAACAAATATAAGGAAAAGTCTTACCACTTCTCACTCCATTCAAGAGACGATCGAAATGCATACTCTCATTAAACGTTGGATTGTTTCGTTTTATCGACATTCTCTCGGGAATCCAGCCTGTAAGAGCGTGTAGGTCAATGCTCTGAAACGAAATAGAAAACTTATCAAAACTTCAGCAAAAAATTACTCTCTCTGTACTTCATTGGAAGACCAAACTCAAAGTCTACATTCCTACTCTGAGTCTAGTTCCTTACGAGACGCTTTAGACCACAAGCGAATCACACTGTGAGTCTGCTAACACACATAAGACATAATAAAGAGATTTAGCCAAGCCTAAAAGCGGAGCTCGCATTTTTTTCCCGCATGTCTCAAGGGCACAACGCCTTTCCCGGCCGGGACTAGAACCCGGGTCGTCCGACTCGGAGCCCAGTACACTGACCACTGGACTACTGGACAAAGCCGTGGCGTTGGCATGCCCGCGGTACAGTTGACCACTTAGCTTTCTAAACTCGGAACTATTGAATAATTATATTCCAGGAGGACACTGCAAGAGTGGAGTGACTTGTCTAACAACACAACAGAATGACCGGTCGAGAATCGAGCCAGGACCTCTCGACTTGGAGTCCAGCGTATTGACCACTTAGCACTTTGTATATTACTGCGAATTTACTTACGGAGTTGGACCCGGGGAAATCGTATCCTCCCATCACCTGTCCAAAACAAAACATTAAATACAAACAAATCATCAAACTCACGGATCACGCAAATCACCTTCAACAGGCAAAGTCTCCCCCCTTATCCCCTCCCTGAGGACATACATGTGCGAGTCCGGTTATCAAAAGTCCAATAAAAGATGTGTTACCACAGGATGGGTGGGAAGCTGAGATTTTCCCGTAGAGATAAGAAAATGTGAAGTAAACAAAGAAAACGTCAACTACACAGTAGAAGTTAACTTTTGAACGGGAAGTGACCTACCTTTAAATAAGCCTTTTCAATAAGACTGACCCACATTTCATTGCGATTGTTGGAGTAGGAGCAGAGCAGTTCTCCATCTCTTCCAACAGGAAGGGTATCATCAATAATCACCTGGGAAAAGAAGTAAAGAAATTAAAACTTAAAAATTAAAGATGAAAAGTTTACGAACTTAGTCATTGAATGAGGAAGGGCGTTATTTGTTTTGTCACGAGCGTAAAACGGAAAAATATGTCATACCCACGGGAAACCAACCACACACCGTTGGATTTTAGGGTTCCATACTCTACTATTGAGCTAAAGAGGCCTCAGAATTTAAAATTAATCATCTGTTATATTCTATCTATGAACACATTGCTCTCGTCTATACTCATCCAGTGGTATGTAGGAATGTTGTCACCTATGAACCTTGCGAACAACTTTCAATGGTATTGCATCAGACCGGGGAAAAGGACAGTGTGGGGTTCGATTCCTAGTGTGGCAATCAGACTTTTCTATTTTTCTCACGGTAGAGACGAGACAAGTAACAACTTTTTTTCAGGTACAAATCTTATACCATGATCTGCAACAATACGTTAACGAAAGCCAATGGCCTTCAAACAGTGAACAGAGCACTGAATTTTTGCAAGTAATTAAAAATGAAAAAATAATGCGTGGATTGTAAAAGATGGCTAAATACATACACCGTAAGTTTACCTTTCTTGAGACTCCATTGATTCGCAGCTTAATCATGTATTTACCAGATGGATTAATAACTGGTTTTCCCGCGCGATTTTGTGGGTAAATGATACTGTTTGGAACAAGAATACAGACACCCAGTTCAATTAACGTAAGAAAACGCAAGACACCTGCAAAAATTCTATCATAATTTTCCTTGTAATTGTAACCTCAGTATATTAAATAATGTTTCCACTCAAATGCTTTTCGATTGAACATCGTGAAAGTAAAACAAAAGCTATCATAACAGCCAATCAAAACGAAGGTAGATCACACAAGGAGCCAACGAGAACGTAGTAAAATACACTAAAAATGCTTCAAGCGCGGGAAATGCGAGTCTTCACCTGGTTATGTGATTTACTTTCGTATCTGATTGGTTGAGAGGGAGGCGCGAGAATTTTGGACAGAGAGAAAATAAGAATACCTCGGTTGCTCCTCATAAAATTGCTCTATGTAAGCTTAAGCATAAGAGATATGCCCTTGTCCCGTGGTTTGTAGAGTGAACTCAAAATGAAAAAAAGCCAGTCTGAGACCCGCTAGGAGACTAAAAATCACTGGCACACGGTTCTAGTTAGAAATTTCGTAGCATAAGCGCCGGCTCTCCAGTCAATCGAGTTAAGTTCTTTCTTGAGCCTTCTCATCGGGCTGCACTATTTTAAAAATGGGCGTATCATTAATTTCAATTCACTAAGTAGTGATTCATTGAGGCCGCCTTACTGATTTAAATCATATATCGCCCAAACGTGCCAAAAACAAAATGGAAGACGCACTTAAGACTGCTTTGTCTTTACGATTTTATGTTATGGAGCAATACTTATGGCGAGCAGGAAAGAAAAGCTTGAGAGAGAATTGAATTTTATCTAAAAAAAATGGAATTATCTCGTCTCATCTTCTCTCCGTCCACTATGGTCTGTTCTATGAACCTAAACCATATATAACAAGTTTGTAACGCCATCTCGCCTTCCGTAATCTTTTCATTCCCAAGAACTTATTGGAAAATCTCCTTACTGTCTGCCAGAAAATTTTTATGATGTTAGTTCGGGGAATTTGGTATTGGATCAACTGATAATACCCCAAGTAATATTTGTCTTCATTCTCATCTTTTGTCTGCTTAATGTTGTATTGATATTGTAAGGATAAAGGGCTAAAAATGAGATAAAGGGCTAAAAAGTAACCTGCACTACAGACTATGATACTCTAAAATTACAGTACTACCTTGTAATAAGAGTCTTTTTAAAGTTTCTCTCGTAAGCAGCACTGATCGCCAGCGAGGCCAGAAAAGAGCAATCTGACACAATGGTCTGAGAAAAGAGAAGGAAAGAACTTTTTGCTTACAATACGTTTGAATATTGAGACTTTGAGGGTTAATCAAAAACATAACAAAATTCTCGATTAGCGTTAGTCACCAGCGGCGTAATGGGAATTTTGGGATTGAGAATGAGAACAGGAATTTAGTGGTGAACATTACACGAGGTGGCTCTTCTTGTCCACTGTTTCCACTTAAAATGAAATTTAGAATGTTTATTGATGCGGAAGGAGCAAACCCGGAGGACCCCCCATGTGACGTCAGGTCCGGGAATCGACCCCGGACCACAGTGGTGGGAGGCGAACACTCTCACTACCACGGCATCCATGCTCCCCAAGCGGACAGTAAGCATCATTTCCTCTCGCTGTGGTATAGATTATTGCGTTCAATTATTTTTGTGGTGGAAGATAAATGGTTTTTTTTTTGGTTTTTTTTTTCAATTTAGTAAAGACCATGTTCAAACGTTGGGCATTTGTTTTGTTTTATTTTGTTTGTTTTCTTTAATTCGTCATAGTTTCCATTCATTGGTGGGAAGACTATGTGTCGTCCATTTCTGTGTGTAATCGGTCTTAAGTTTTATTTCTGGCGACCACTTCATGATTTTAGATAGTCAAATGGCGACTTTGAAAATATTCGAGCTTGAACTGTTGTTTGACGTAATTTGGCGTTTAATTGTTGGGAATGTATGACCTTTTAAAATCTAAGATTAAGATTTGCGTTTCAGATGATTTTACGGCGTTTTTTTTTTTCTCAGTATTCATAATAATTTACCTGTTTGATACTGAAGCTTGATATAGCATAAATCATTTCTGGGTTTTCACACAACTCTGTTGGCCTGACAAAGAATTTAAAGTTACAGTCACGATAACGAAGTGATATGGGAAATATTAAGCATGTTAATGCTGATTTCATGTTTGGAAATTTAGCTCTACTTCGGACAAGTATCTATTCAGAAGATATGAATTTAAGTGATATGTAATGTTGATATATTGGACATACCTTAACCATTTAGTAAAGCGAGCTTTCTGTTTCTGTGACAGGGCAAGCTGACCATCTTTATCACTACAGTAACAAATGTTAAGATACATTATTAAAATGTGAGAATGTGAGTAGATATGTGTTCATTGATTCAAAGCTTCAACACCACCCATGGGCAACCCCCCTTCCCACCCCACACTTGAACTTTAAAAGATTGTTTGTTCAAATTCCCACCCCTAGGGCCAACATCAAAATTAGCAACCATAACTTTCTACTCCAAGCTTTAAACCTACACCTTATTTTAGACCTTTTCTTCTGAGCTATTCACTCACCAAAGTGAACTTTTTATCTTTAAATACCTCCATATTAAGAAATAAAACACCTACATTCTGCTAGAAAGACTTAGCACTTCTTATTCAAATTTCTCACCCTAGAGAGGCAAGGTTTAAACCCCCCCCCCCCCCCCCCCCCCTGCATGGACAACGGTAAAATGACCATTGGTGGAAGAAATGTTGAAGGCTCCTACTGCTGGAGCTTTCTTGAATCTCTGAAGTACAAAAGGACAAGGAACAATTTTCTTTTTTGAACAACTGGCACCAGTAGATCAACTGTTAGGCCATCACTGTGATCTCCAAGACAATGTTTTAATTTGAATTAAAGGTCTAAACATTAGGTTACCATACCACATCTTCCATAGCTAATAGTATACAACTAAAAACCTCTTGTCACATTATTTACTGTATCAAAATTGACAATGTGTACACATTACCTATAACAGTCAGGATAAGCAAATCTTTCTTTCAGGTCAATATCCAGCCAGGGAGGGAACAGCTTACCATTTATATAAGAAGTTCTCCTGAGAAAAGTATAAACACATTCTCACTCAAAATTTACATTGCTACACTGTGTATGATGCTGACAGTCAAAGTTTTCCAGTTTGCGATACGGGCATACCTGTACTCCACATGAATGCATACAGTATATATTGGTAAAAGAAAAATCAAAGGCATAAAGTTCTTAATATTCAAATATTAAATCCTCAAGTAAGATCATTTGAACATGTTTAACTTCAGGTAGATTGTAGAAATAAACTCTAGTTACATGTAAAATCATCTCAATGCTTCTCAATTTCAGAAGAACAATTTTTTCATGCCTTAAACTTGAAACAAGGAAACAAACTCTCTGAATTTTCATAGTAAAAGTTATAGACAAATGTGTCCATCCAGTTAAAATTCTGTAACAAAATTCCTCATTTTGAACATTGCAAGCCAGTTTATTTTGATTTTCTATTTTTTTATATTCCATAAGGTAAGAAAAGGAAAAAGAAAACTCATCTGAAAGACATCAAGCCATGAAAATGTTGCACCACAACAAAATAAAATAAAATATATAGCAATAAAAAAGGGTTAAAAATGGGTGATAAAACATTTGATCATGAACTATGTGTTAGATGCAACAAAGATGTCTTACTTTAAAACTTCCAATTCCTTGACTGTGAGATGAGGTCTCTTGTCACCAGTGCTTGTCCCAGGGGTTGATTCTCCAGACGACATTAAGGAAAGGTCCTTCACACCTCTAGTGATTGTCGTTGAATCTGACCCAGCGCTTTCGGGCTTAGTACTTAATGTTGCCTTAATTGCCTCAGCTCTGAGAATAGAGGATTAAAAGTCTGTGTAATTTCTTTAGAATACTTTATATACCCAATGTATTCTGGAGAATCTGCACAATTCACCCCTTGTCAAACTTCACCATCTGGATTGAAAGACTAAAGAATGAGGGTTGTACATTGGTTGGCCACTACCGCATAAAAATATCAAAAACTATTTTATGTGCAAGTACAATATATACATGTAATGTGGGAGAGATTTTAAAGTTCAATGAAAATTAACCCTTCACACCCTAACATCAGCATTCATATTCTCATATTCTCCATACTGATCTCTTTACATTTACAAGGTGCTGAAAAAGAGAATTTGTTTAACAATCAAGAATTTTCTTTAGTTGTTGATCATTTCCTTTGTTCTCATGACATCAATGCATGATTCAGTGGTGATATTGTAAGGAGAAAATTAATTAGATGCTAGTCACTAGATATCAATATCTTTATCTTGCTTGTAATTTGCCAAATCTGAAACCGTTTACCTCTCTATTGCTTGCTTGGCAAGACCATGGAGTTTTTTCTTTAAATTATCACTATCTGGTAGACTGCTGCTCTACAAATGAAAAGGCAATAATACATAATGCAAATTACATTGTACATAAAACAAGAATTTAAAGGACGTACTACATGATGGGCATTGTGCTTAACCCTTTAACTCCCAAGATCTCATTAGTAATTCTCCTTACTGTCTGCCAAATGATTCTCATTATGTTAGTTTGGAGAATTTGGTATTGGATCAATTATCACTCCCATAATTGATATTTTTCTTTATTCTCATCACTTGTCTGCATGTTATTGTACAGATGTAGTAAGGACAAATTCTGTCTTGGTCACTCACGGGAGTTTAAGGGTTAAATGATCAGATAATGTCAGATAATCAACTGACAGTTGATCTGAACCTTCATTTGAACAACCTTAGGTCTGTAACCAATTTTTTTTCATATGACAGAGATACATGTAAATATCTCCTCATCACTCAACAGGATGAAGAAGAAGAAGGAGAAGAAGAAGGAAGCCCTGTCTGTTCGTTACATGAGTGGTGTAAAAAGAACAGAAGATACATGAAGAACGAAATCAGTATTTAACAGTGTATCAGTGTAAGTTCAAAAGATCCAGGTCATGATTGAAGAACGATGGGTATTCATTTGGATATATGGGACAGGAAGACAGAAGTTACAGGAATCACTGCAAGACAGAAAAGCTTATTAAGTAAAGCAAAGATTTTGCAAAGCACCCCTGCCAAAAAGGCTATGGGAAAAAGCTTAATGTCTTCAGAAAAAAAAGGTCATCACCAATTAGCTTAATTACATTGTAAATAAGCTAATAGAAATTATAATACTTGTGGCAACAGTGAAAACAGTAAGTGCTAGCAATAAAAAGCTAATTCAGTCTTAACAGAATACCAACTCACAGTTTTGATGCAAAGATCGGCTGCATCAGTGTAGAGAGGTAAAGCATCAATTTGTCTGCCTCTTTCATCTTCATGTAGTGCTTGCTTCAGAAGAAATTCTGCTCTCTCCACACCATTCTACACACATAATGAATGAATATTATTTCAAATACCTCTCATCTTCCTTAAGGTTATTAGAAGACATGGAAAGGCTACTTGAACAATGAAATGATAAATCAGTTGATCAAAAATTATTTCATTGCCTGTTGTGAAGTCTTGAAAGAAGTAGGTGCGTGAGATGAACCTGAGGAAACACAGTTGAAAAAGACTAAATTTAATAAAATATTCACTACATATAGTTTTTGATATTCTGTCTAATATCTGTTAAAAACTAACTAATCTCGTGAACTACATGTGCGTTGTACATGTATGATAACTAATAAGTTGTAGATTGTTGTAAAATTGATGGTTCGTAAAGCTGATCTTCATTCAACCATATTTAAAATGTCTCTACGATTCTCTAATTTAGAGCGTATACGGTATTAACCGGAATATAGAAATATCGTAATCAATATAATACTTTCTTGATATGCTTTTGACAATTTTGGCTAAAAAGTTCCTAGGAAATCCCGGAAGTACATTAAGTGTATTTAAAAAAGTAACAACAAATAATTTTGTTCTTCAAGAATACAGATAAATTGACATTTTGACCTAATTTCATTATATCTACCAGCAACGTCCCACCCACAATGAAGACGTATATAAATATTCCAGCGACATAAGATCGAAGCTAAGTTATGTGAAGTTTACCTTCTTCCAGCGCTCGGAGCTCCTCGGCTCGCCTGACATACTGCGAAGCTTTATCTCTCACCTCTAAACTGGGATCATATGATAATGCTTTGATGAGAGCTTCGGCAGCTTCAATGTAGAAAAAAGCAGCTGCACCTCCGCTTCCCATTTTGTCTAAATCTACAGCCTGTATTGCCAATCTGTAGCCATCTTCGCAGAGTTCCGTCACGTCCACCATGTTGTTATGATGAGAACGCATGCGCAATTTTCTTATTCAAAAGACATGACTGCATACGGGCTCAGCGTACATTTGAATCCCAGGTCTGCGAAGCGTACTGAGTGAAACTCAAACAAATTTCAGTCGAATTAAGAAGTATTTTTCACCATGAATTAATAAGGAGGGCTCCTTGCTACAGCATAACATCCTTTTTCCATTGTTCACATAGCATCTATCAAGGAACAGCTAAACTATGATGAATCAGTCATTGAATCTTGCCGTAGTACTGCAATATGAACTTTTTATTGAGAGACATAGATCAGCTCTTAACTGAAGCTTGCAAGAGTCAAATTACAGTCTAATAATAACGTCTTGGTGTTATATGAATTCAAGTATATTTATATCTGAGGTCAGATCTACTATTCCACGTATGGATTTCGCAATTAATTGATTGGTTAAAATTATTTCACTGATAACTGCGTGCATAGTGTAAATGACAGATGTGACGCACGTTAGTTCGTTTTCATGAAAAGTTTTGGGCATCAAAGGTATTCAGAATTTTTGTGAAAAATTTTCGAAGCAGTCGGAGTGCTAACAGTGCCTTTTTACTTTTGAAGATTATCAGCACCCGTAGGAGGTTATGTCAAGAAGTTCACAAAGTATTTAACAGACTACAGATGTTTTCAAGGGCACTGAACCGAAACAAAAGCTCACAGAGAAAAACTTACCTGCCTGAGGTTATCACAACGCTCTTATATGTACCCTCCCCCGAATATGACCCCGAACCCTTCCTGATCAAAAGCATAACGAAATTCGTGATTGTGATTGGTCGTCAGCTCCGCGACTTTGGCACCACTAAGACGTAATAAGCATTTTCGTTTTTCAATTTTTCAATATTTTCTAATTGTTTTACTGGACATTGTGTCGCGCAACTCTACCATATGAAGAAGAGCAATGAAAATGTACAAATCATTAAGGCCGGAAGCATTCGGTAGTTCGAGCATAACTTCCGAGTGAGTACTCAGTCTACCTTACTCGGCTAGAATATTTCAAAAAGTTATCATCAAAACACCAAAAAGTGCCTAATTGCAATCAATTTGACTTTTAGTGAAAACGTCGGCATATTGCCAGGATCAGTGATATTGAAAGCATCTCACAGAGCAAACCAGTTTCAAGTCGGCAGACAAGTAAATCCTTGAGCATCCCGTTCCCAACACTTTTCTTTGAATCAAGCTTAAAGTCATAACATTCATAGCATAAAATTCGCACTAAGGGACAAATTAGGCTCTACACTTAACGATAAAACTGCGAAGAGAGCTGAAACATAGCCACTTTAAAAATGTTTAGTTACAAAAATGCAATCCATAACCAAAATGAGTGTGTAATGCACGAACTGAGATCATCTGCTTTTCTGCTCTCGTAAATAGATTTTTCTCCTCTATTTCCTACAAGAAGATCTGTTATAAAGATTTTAGATATATGAAAATTCACATATTTGCACTGCGGTGGAAAGATGAAATTAGGAGATCCTCGCAGAATATATGAAAATTCACCGTACGGGCCTGAAATTTTTTTCAGGTCCTATTTACAACTACTCGTTTCAGTAGTGTTCTTAGCTGCGAGGATCTCCTAATTTCATCTTTCCACCGCAGTGCAAATATGTGAATTTTCATATATCTAAAATCTTCATTCACTTGGATGTTTATTTGGACCCAATTCATTGACCAGCTCCCAGTTGGCTTGTTAGCTCAATTGGTAGAGCGCTGCACCGGTATCGCAGAGGTCATGGGTTCAAATCCCGTACGGGCCTGAAATTTTTTTCAGGTCCTATTTACAACTACTCGTTTCAAAAGTGTTCTTAGCTACAAGGATCTCCTAATTTCAAGATCTGTTATATTTAAGAAAGAATTTCTCGGAAATAAATCTGATGTTTCCGAAATTGCATTCTTAATATGATCGACAATGACAAAAGTTTGCGCAAATTCATCATTAAGAATCTTTATCCAGGCCAAACAGTTATTTAAATTGACTCTTCATGTTAGGTGTAACCATGCATCTGATAAGGCAGGACATCGGCCATTTCATTCCATGACCCATGGTCGAAGAAAAAGTCGGGTCACTCCTAGATGTAGCGTGGGTAAATAAAGTATTGTATTGTATTGTATCTTACTGTATAGTACCCACAATAAAGCGTAGGAGACCATAAACAGAACCTGGAAACAGGCAAAATATAATGGCACTAACTAAGAACATTGTTGTCTTAAGTGCCTTGCCATTGCTGACTATTTGTTTCACTTTTTCTTGAGGCATCTGTTGAGTTTTTATCTTTATCTTTACGCGTCGTGTTTCATTGAGCATTGAAACATGACAGTTTGCACCGGCGTCATTTGTACACACTCTACATAAATAGAGGCGTTCATCTTCTCGTGAAAAAAAAAAACGGCCATGATTTTTCTTTTTCTTTTAAACGACTAGCCGTAGGGTATTTTGTTTCTTAACGTGTCATAGGTTTTTAAATTATAAATAGACATATGCATTGTGTCGTGCAAGGTTTGAATAGGAAAAAGAGGTGGGGAAAGGGAGAGCACATTTAGGCCGCGTATCATGAAATGGTCTATTGTTCAAGCTCAACTTTTCACATTAAGTATTAAACAATAGTCATTTTGTTCTTTGTAGCGCTGAGGGACTTTGGCCGAAGCGACGCGAAAAAGTTCGCCAGTAATCGGAAAAAAATTTCGGTGTATCTTCAACCTCTTTATGCGTACTTTTTTTTATCGGACAGTTTGTTATCATACTCGTGATAAACAAATCGAACTTCCACTGCGCGATCGCCCGATTTTGTTATCACTCGTATGATTACAGACCGAATTGGACTCAACTAAGTCCTATTACCATTATTATCCATTATTATGCACACAAAGAATTAAGTCTCAGTCACTGCGTAGCGCGCGCGAGATTTGAACTGCTCTCATACTATGAAAGATAAATCTCAGAGCGGGGAAGTCATGATTCGATGGTCCGTCGAGCGAGAAAATGAAAGTTTCCCCCTCCAACTTTCTCGCTGCTATTTTCTTCTCTCAAATGTTCTTTTCGCTATCTTTACTTCAGTCGAAGTTCGAGCAAACCTTCTGAATGAGTACCCAGACTCCATTACTCAAATAGAACAGTTGAAAATCTTTCAAAAAACACGAAATAGGTTCTAATAGCATTCATTTCGACTTTTGGTGGAAGCGTCTGCATAATGCAGGATTAGCGATGTCGAAAGCGTCATAGAAAGCATAGGATATCAGTTTCAGGTTTGAAGACAAGTAAATTCTTGACCATTCTACCTATAATCCTTTTAGTGTCAGTAATGTAAGTTCCCAGTTATAACATCCAAAGTAAAAAAAATGCGAAAAAAGAATAAATCAGGTCCAAACTTGATGAAAAAACTCTAACTGAGGAGGGCCGAAAATGTATGTGGCTACAGAAATACAATCCTTAATCAATGTGAATATGTAATGCGGAAACTGAGATCCTCAACTTTTTTGCTCTTGTAAACATATTTTTCGCTGGAGTTTCCTTTTATAATATTTGTTGTATTTAATGATATGCATTCTTATTATGATCGTCGATGACAAAAGTTTCCGGCGATTCATTTTTAAGAATATTTACCAGAACCAAAGTTATTTGAAATTACTCTTTACTTTTGTTATGGTTGAAACTTGAAACAGATTATTGAATGAGTAAACGTTATTGTTTATAAAGCAGTGGATTCAAACTTGGAAGTATTTGGTGAGTACAGCGTGTAATTCTCTGAAACCTTCTCGCTGTTGAACTTCAAAATGAAATTAGGATCTTTCGGATCACAGATCAAAGTTCGATCGTACGTGCCTAAGTGCATTTTAGCCAGTGAAAAATCAATTTTTACCTTGTCTATATCTGTACTCCAACATGTGCTTTGTGATCGTTTCAAAATTTACCTTTCCGTTAAGAAATTTTCTAAAAGACTTATAGGCTATTTTGGAGTACAAGCTACGATCAGCGTCAAAATCAGTTAAAAGAGCCCTATTCTATATATGTAGAATAACACTCCTGTCTTTACCACACTCCATTGACCAAACCTCCCTCCCCTCCCCCATTCAATGTTGTCTGCATGTAGCTAAACGTTCATGGAATCACAGTACAACTTTGTTTTGGGAGAGAAGAGAGCGAATAGGTTTACTTAACAAGGGCAAAAGAGATCCAATTGAAGTGACAGGGGGTTGAAAAGGTCATTGTGTCAACAGTTTTGTCACCGATCAGAGTTAATGCCATGTGGCTTATTCTATAGGAGAATTCTATGTTCAGAATGTTATAATCTCGTTGAATGTTTTTCACAAGGAAACACATAGAGTAAAGTGCAGCTCACCAAGGACTCATTAGAGGAAGAGTCCTCACGAAGATAAATTCACAACTTTCAGAAGAGTACCACGTGGGATGCTAACTGGAATTTTGTAGAGCATGTTTAGTATCCCCAGCCGGGATCTCACCTGGGACTGTGGAGAGTGTTGTGTTTAAGCAAAGAACACCCCAGAGAGCATCCTGTGTAGGAAAGGCAAGGTCCCACCGGGGATTGTAAGAATTCCGTTAAAGTTTGTAGGTGGGATTGGCAGGATCCCCATGTGTAATTGCAGGTGGTACCAATCAGAATTTCAAAAAACATAAAAAGAAACGATATCAATATGATACCTATAACAGTGAAACAAATATACATTTCCCTTTGTTGATTCCTTATTTCTGTGTATGAGGGAGTCTAAATTGCCATGAAATCCTTGTTTGTTCAATTTCCATTACTTTACTCTGATCATGCGCAGCGTTCTATATTGCCCTTCTTCTAGCTTTCCTCCAAAATGTACTATGTAAATAAAGTGGTTCACTGAATGCTATCGCACAGATATACACATAAGCTATAAGAAATATCAGTGTCTATATAGTGAAGGAACTATAGCTAGCACAGCATAGGGCCCTAATATTAAATTTATCTGATCATTATAATTTGT